GGGTCACGAGGAGCACCAAGCGATGATCGACATGGATGCAATTGACCTGGACGCGGGTGCACCGGATCTGGAAGAGGGAGAATCGATCTTGTTGATCGACTTTGGAAAGGAGGTAGACCTACGGCTGAAGGAAACGCCGGCGCAGAAATTCGCAGAAGAAGCGGAAAAGGAGAAGGAGAGAATGACCGAGGGAAAGATTCCAGATCAATACCGAGAATTCGTCAAAGTATTCGCCAAGGAATCATTCGACTCGCTACCGGACCGACGGGCATGGGATCATGCGATCGAGCTCAAACCAGGCTCCAAAGCAGTGGACTGCAAGGTGTACCCCTTATCGAGAAACGAGCAGGTCAAACTCGACGAGTTCTTACAAGAGAACCTAGCCAGCGGACGGATCAGGCCATCAAAATCACCCATGGCATCGGCATTCTTCTTTGTCAAGAAGAAGGATGGCTCGCTACGGCCTGTTCAAGATTACCGGAAGCTGAATGAGATGACGATCCGAAATCGGTACCCGCTACCGCTAATTTCCGAACTGGTCCACAACCTGTGCGGCGCCAAGTTCTTCACCAAGCTAGACATCCGGTGGGGATATAACAATGTACGGATCAAAGAGGGCGACGAATGGAAGGCTGCATTCCGCACGAACCGAGGGCTGTACGAGCCCTTAGTTATGTTCTTTGGTCTCACGAATTCTCCGGCAACGTTCCAAAACATGATGAACGACATACTCCGGGAACTGATCAACGAGGGACATGTGGTAGTTTATCTGGACGACATACTAATCTTCACAGAAAATCTGGATGAACATCGACGAATCACCAAACGGGTACTTGAGTTGCTCCAAAAGCACAAATTATACCTGAAGCCGGAAAAGTGCGAGTTCGAACGCACGGAAATCGAATACCTGGGTGTAATCATTGGACACAACTTGATGCGGATGGACCCTGTCAAGATCAAGGGCGTGATGGAATGGCCGGAACCAAAGAGCGTCAAACAAGTCCAAGCCTTCCTCGGATTCACAAACTTCTATCGACGTTTTGTTCGGGGGTATGCGGAGGTCGCCAAGCCGTTGACGCGGCTGACAGGGAAGGCAGGATGGTCATGGGGTCCGGATGAACATGCGGCGTTTGATGGGTTAAAGAAGAGAATCGCGGAGGATGCCGTCTTAGCACTGCCAAATGACACCGGCCAATATCGTCTGGAAGCCGATGCTTCGGAAGGGGCAACAGGATCTGTTTTGAGCCAAAACCAAGACGGCATTTGGCGCCCAATTGCATTTATTTCGCATGCATTAACGGAAACCGAGCGAAATTACGAGATCTACGACAAGGAAATGCTTGCAATCATGTTATCGCTCGACGAATGGAGGCAGCTACTCTTGGGGGCCACAGAAACGTTTGAGATTTTCACTGATCATCAGAACCTCGAATACTTCCGGAAGCCACAAAAGCTCAACCGACGACAAGCACGATGGATCACAGAATTAGCAGAATTCGATTTCACCTTACGACACCGGCCCGGCGCACTCAACCGCAAGGCGGATCTCTTATCTCGACGAGCGGATCACGATCAGGGCAAGAACGACAACAAGGATATCACTCTGCTGAAACCCGAATTCTTCCGGTCACAAGAAGTCACATTCGAGGGGCAAGATCAGCAGCTAATCGATGAGATCAAGGCTACTCGATCAATTGATGGAAGCGTCAAAGCGGCCTTGGAGAAGTCACTCGTCGGATGGAAAAAGGAAGATGGGCTCATCACGTATCATGGGAAGCTCTACGTGCCGAGGAATGAGGAGCTACGAGACAAGATCATCGGACTACACCACGACACACCTTTGGTCGGACACGCTGGGATCAACCGAACGCAGGAGATGGTGGAAAGGAACTACTGGTGGCCAAGGATGGGAAACCAAATTCGGAAATACATCCAGACGTGCGAGGCGTGCCAGCGGACCAAGACCAGAAGAGCCAGGACAGGGAGTTTGCACCCGCATGCAGTTCCAAACGCGCCGTGGGAAATCATCTCCATGGATCAGATCGGACCCCTGCCGGTCAGTAACGGGTATGACGCAATTCATGTGTGGTGTGACACCTTCACCAAAATGATCCATGTCGAACCAATTAGTACTGACATCAGCAGCGAAGGAGTAGCACGGTTAACCAGGGACCGAATCTTCCGCTATCACGGGGTCCCCCGCAAAATCATCACCGACAGGGACTCTCGATACATCAAGGGCTTTATGAAGGAAACGAATCGGATGTTGGGCGTGGAAATGAATCCGGGGACCGCATATCACCCCATCACAGATGGGCAGACGGAGCGTATGAATCAGGAGATCGAACACTATCTCCGCATTTACGTCAACTACCATCAGACGGACTGGTCGGAGTGGCTGGGAATGGCGGAGTTCGCATACAACGACAAAATGAACACGTCTACCAAAATGTCGCCGTTCTATGCTAATCACGGATACCACCCATGGAAGGGAGTGGAGCAGCGGATGGAATCAAGGAACGAGTCGGCGGAGGAATTTGTAAAAAGAATCAGAGAAATACAAGACGAAGCAAAAGCAGCATTGGAAAAAGCAAAAGAAAAAATGAAAAAATACTACGATAAACAAAGAAAAGAAGTTCCGGAGTTGAAGGTGGGGATGAAGGTGTACATAGAGGGGGACAATATCGAGACGGACAGACCTTCGAAGAAGATGAGCGACAAGAGATTGGGGCCATACGAGATACTGGAGAAGGTTGGAGCGGCTGCATGGAAGCTGAATTTGCCGGACACGGACCGAAGACACCCGGTGTTCAACGAGTCACTGTTGACACCCTATCACGAACCACCCCCCCATCGCCGAGAGAAGAGACCCGTGGCCAAGATGATCGGAGGAGCAGAGGAGTGGGAAGTCGAAGAAATCGTGAAAGAGCGAAAAGTCGGCCGAGGAAAACAGTACTTGGTCAAATGGAAGGGATGGCCGCACAGCGAGAACACCTGGGAACCATCACGTCACCTTACCCACGCGAAGAACGTCCTGAGAGACTGGCAGAGGAAACAATCAAATCCAGACACACGCATTCGCCTCCTGCCAACGCTCGAAGCTGGACACTGGGACTATCTCATTCATCGCTACAAGCCCAGGGACGAGCGCCTTCCATATCCCCAACGACAGCTCTTCGACCCTTACGAGAACGTCTTCTTACCCATTGGCCTAGTCGATGAGGACATCGACCCTAGAGAGGGGGTAATGTCATAGCTCGGCCACTTCTTCATCTTATCATCGACGATCTTATCTTGGCACGACTTATCTTATCACGGATCACGGCATCGGATGGTCCGGACTAGGGGTTCCAGGGATTATCTTCATCGATTCGAGGCTGCGCGACATATGCTCCGGAAGGTTCTAGTACAACCCATGACCAGCGTTCCATGCGGTACATAGTCTTATGACTCATTAGTTGTAGATATGACTCAGACTGGATTTGGGTATAAATACTGTAGCTACCTGGTTGTATTCTCCAGTCTTCGAATTCACTTCTCTTTTCGACTTGTTTCTGGGTTGATTGTCACACAACTGATCCCAGATAGCATAGCTACTATGCAGCTGTACAGGACTTTGCTAAGCACTAGCGTACAGAATTAGAGATGATCTGCACTCAGTGGTAAAAGCTACATAAAAACAGTTTAACTGTATCAAGGACTAGTAAATGACTGTAATGTGACATAATGTGTAAGTCTAGCAGGCTTAGCAGGACTTTCTTTTCTTGTTCGCTCACTTGCTCTTGATCTCAGCAGTCTCTGAATTCTCACACCCTCACAGCCACAGCTATCATCTTTGGTAAGTGAACATTATCAGAGCCAAAGACATCCATCAGAACCAAACACTTCAATCAATCCATCAAATATAGCAAGATGTCACAGATGCATTGATAAATTGATTGGAGTATTTGGTTATGATGGATCAATGTCAATGATGTTGCCTCACCAAGATGACAGCTGTAGCTGTGATGGTGTGAGAATTCAGAGACTGCTAAGATCAAGAGCAAGTGGAAAAATAAGAAGGCCCTGAGCTATCAGAGTTGACAACATAGTCTGGTAAAAATCCAGTGTTAGTGAAACAAGAGAGCAATAAGAAAGCAGCAAAAGAAAAAAGGCAGAGAGACAGAACAAGGAAGAGCAGAGGAACAAGCAGGCCAGAGACAAAACAGAGAGCACTACCAAAAAAAAAGGGCAAAAAAATTGAGTCAGAAAAGTATATAGGATAATGTGTGACATATCACACACCTATTCTCTGGGGTTTATGCTCATAGTAGCTGAGAATATCAAAGACAAGCTGATGATCAGTTAATCAACTGATCAACTGTATAGTTGATGGCATCACTCACATAGCAAAGTCAGGTCACAAGAAACAACTATACAGTCAGATGACAGGAGGATAAGATAAGTGAAGCAGATAGCCACCAGTAGGCCAGCTGACCAGAAGAGGCTGTGACAAAGACAGACAACTAGAAGAGACTGTTGTGGATAAGAGCAAGAAGAGGATCAGGAAAGATTGATAAGGGCAGTCTTATATATGTATCAGAAGTGGCAGTGTCAGATCACATGATCAGGTGCATATGATCTGATACCATCATTGCTCGGGTCTCTTCTGCATTGAAAAGAGCATAGAAACACTCCCAAGAAACTTTCAATCCAGAGCCTTTGTTTCTGATCCTGGTTTGCAACAGGTGCCGGCAACCTTGTTTGGCTTATATTTCAGTAGCTGCCACTCCAGTGGCTGTGCAACCACTTCCATACACTTTCCGTCGGCTAACAGTAGACAATCAGAAAGAGAAATCCTTTGCCGGAGAAATGTGTAACATCTTGGAATATGTTTCATGGATGATACGTGACTATCCGAATAGTGCAAACAGAGGACATGGGTGTGATCAAACGCACATCATCCAACGACCAGACTCTCTGGCGGGCCTAGATAACTCGACTTGACCCTCCAGTATCCACTACGATCTTCTGGACCACCACGCCGGCTCGATCATGAACAACTGCGCGCGTATCGTCACATGAACCTCACGCCCCACCGGACAGACACGCACCTTGAGCGTATGCGCACCAGGCTGCGCAGCAAACACGTTCTCGTCTGGATGATCTCCGCAGCGACGAATCCGTTCCACTGCGCAGGCTCCAACCCGGGGGCCGCCGACGGGAAGAAGTAGTTGCTCTGCGCCGGCGCGTCGTCGAGCTGCACCGCGAAGCCCAGCGGGCGGTCCGCTCCCAGTGCGTTGCCCGACGGCGACAGGTAGGTGACGACAGTCACGTTCGCGCCGCCGCTGAACGTGTAAAAGTCGTACTCCAGCGACGGCCCTGCGCCGGCGGTGAAGTTGTTCTCGTTGTTGCCGAGTCGCGGGAAGGGCGTCACGCCCGAGAGCGTCTTGCCGAGCCCGGGCAGCGTGCGCCAGACCATGCCGCCGACGGAGTTGTTCCGCGTCGCATGCTGCGCCTCGAACGACACGGCGCCGCTGCTTCGACGAACCCTGCAGCGAATGAGCGTTTGCGCCTGCGTTTCAAGTCACGGCTGCAGCTCTTCGCACCTTTGAAACCGGCGCTCGGCGTCGTCTTGTTCGCGACGATGAACGTCTGCACCAGATCCCGCGGCGAGCCAAACGCATTCACGGTCAGCACCTTTTTGTCTGCCCCAAACGCGGTGAAGTTGAGAGCCGCCGTGCTCAGACCCTCGTCCAGCTTCGTCCAATCGACACGCGCAAACACCCGCACTTCCTGATTCGACGACGGAGAGATCGAGCGTGGTGGGGCTCAGCGTCAGCCAGCTCGCGTTGCTGACGACGGTGAACGTGAAACGGTTGTGGGTCCCCCTGCGCCGATATCGATGTAC